CACACACACCACCTGTCCCCCTCCTCACCTGCAAACACCAGGCACCCACTCTGGTCGCCATACACCCGAACAAGCGTAGGTTCTACCGAGCTCCCTGAAAATCCCAGCATTTTTTGCCAGGAGGACAGGGTTAACCCGGGTCTGATTGCTGTTACATCGGCACTGCAGGGAGCGTTCTAGAGAGAGGGCAGTCACAGGACAGCAGCCAGCGCGCCTGAGCGCGGACCAGGATCCCCTGGTATTGATGGAGCTCCTACCACGTGCCCAGAGCTATGACTCTGAAAAACGAAAAAGAATCTGTAAGGGTCTCTGGCTTTTTATTGTGGTAGCAAATGCATAACACAAATTTATCCTCTTAACCATTCTGAGTGTACAGTAGTGTTAAGTATACTCACACTGTTGCACAGTCATCACCACCATCTATCTCTAGAACTTTTTCATCTGTACCTATTAAGTAACAATTCCCATTCGCCCTCCTCCCAGCCCCTGGCAACCACCATTCTACTTTCCGTTTCTATGAATTTGACTAACCCAGGTACCTCATATATCAATGGAATCGTACAGTACTTGCCTTTTTTGTGACTGGACTGTTTCACTTAGCATAATGTCCTCAGGGTTCATCCAGGTTGTTCTTTTTTTAAAAAAAAATTTTTTTTCAGGGAAATTTTGAACATACACAAAAGTAGAAACAAGTATAATGGGCCTCTGTGCACCCACCATCCACTTTAAGATCCATCAACTAATGGCCAATCCTGTTTTATCTATATCCCACCATCTACACTCCCCCCAGATCACAGGATTATTTTGAAGCAATTCATGGAGATTTAAATCAAACTAGGGAGACGAGTCTATTAATGTGACATATAAGGCTGCTATTGTATTTTATCAATAAAATGTCTAAGAGAGACATTTTCTCACATCTCTGAAATTTGGATGCATTGTGTAATTGGTGACGTGTCTTAGTTTAATTTGCAGTATTTTTTCCTTGAGAATACAAAAAGTAGTGATGCACCTTAAGACTGATGAAATAGGATAGTAAACCATATTATACAATGTGCTGTTATGTTCAAAATTGTGTGTTTAGGTTCTAACAACTCTAAGACTTCAAGTAAAGAGAGATTGGCATGAGCTCAGAAAGTCAGGGACACTTCATGGTAACAGTGGACTTGAGCTGGGCAGGAGAGGGAATTTTGGATTTATGTCAGGTAGGAAAAAAGAGGGCTCCCAGTCCATGGATAGGCTTGGACAGAGACACTGAGGTGGAAATTAGCATGGGGTCGTCAGAGGAAGAGGCCTGGCCTAGGGAGTAAATTTAGGCAGACACAGCACGAGTAGGTCATGAAAGCCCTTGAAGGACAGGAGGAAGAGTAGAGGAAGGAGAGAAAAGGAAGGCTCTTAGGGGTTTCCTTCTGCCCAGAGGACCTGGCATCTCCCACGACTGAGTCAGTCCGCTGCTGCCCCCAAAGGCCTGGCCTCAGAGACCTTCAAGCCTTGGGGACGGACACCGCTCTCCTTTGAACTGTAATAGTATCATCACCCACACTACCTTTTTTTATTTGCTATACAATCTCTACTACCTTATATACTTTTTATCTTTACAGTTTTCCTATTTTTAAATTTTCTATAAGCAACATTATTAGAACAATATTTTTAAAGAAACATCACCCCCAATGACTCCACTGTAGCATATGAATTATTCCCATTTTCCCATGGGCCCTACAGCTCTTGTCCATATGCGTTATTTGTCCTTTGAATGGACCCGCACCTGTTGCCCAGGTAGAAACTGGGCCCTGCGACCCCAGAGCTGGCATTCGGGCCTTGCACGCCGTGTGTTCCTGGTGCCGACCGTGTCCTTAAGCGGTGGCAGCACCCGGGTCTGTGAGGAGGCCGAGGGGCCTGAGAGGTAAAGGCAGCCCTGCTCCGGTGATGTCTGTCTTCGCAAGGAGGCGGTGCTGAGAAAAGGGACCGATGGAAGAAACACTTCAGAGCTTTAGAAGGCGCTGGAGGCTGATCAGAACCCAGGGGTGAGGGGAAGGGACAAATCAAAGGAGGTTTGAAGTGTGGCTCACTAGGACCGCGGTAACGTCACTGATGCACACAGGGAAGTTGGGGGGCTTGCGAGTGGTGCGGATAAGCAGCAGTGAATGTGGGGTTTTCATGAGATACCCGAGTCAAAGCTGTGTAGTGCCTGGGCTGTGAAGTGCCCT